TCTCTGAGGATGAGTTCTTTTCTTCTTAGTCTTTCTCATGTTGGTCGGAGACCCATCTTGGTCTATCTGTCGCCTTCGTCTATATCTCTTTTCCTAAAAGACTGCTGTTCAGGAGTCCCCAGAATCTTACCCCAAAATGCCTTACTTAAGTCTTGTGATTTTGGGTAAGTCACTTCCTTTGAGTCTTATGCAGAAGATGGGTTGCTGTAGAGGCTCATCCATGGAAAGCATTAAGTATACAGTGGGTGCTCTATCATTGTGAGAGATCCTTCTTTCTGGATAGGGAGGAGAAGATCTGTGGGGGCAGGACTCAAAATCTCGAGATTTTTTTCTTTTTTTTTCTATCCAGGACAGCCAAGTTTGGGTGTCTTGCAGCTTCCTAGAGCCAGCATTTCATTTCTCCTCCAGACAGCTGGGAATCAGAGAGGAGGGGAGGGTTGTTAAAAATAGAGCCAGGGTGGGGGCTGTGGCTGGAACAAAACCTTGGTCAGTGGCTCTGAGAATGGGCTGCTGCAGCTCCTATAGTGCTGGCTCCTTCCTTCCAGCCTGGTCCGGCTTAAGCACCACTTTAAGTGGTCGGGGCATTCACTGGCCAGCCCCTCACCGCAATTGAGCTGCAGGGGTTTGAAAAGAGGGCCAGGGCCTCAATGACAGGACCTTGGGCCAGGCTAATTGGTTTTGGTTCAAGGGGATACTGAATTTGTGAAAAGCTCCAAACCGCCTTTCCCACGCCAGAGCCAGGCCACGGCTTTAAGGAAAAGGTTTGGAAGAGCTTGGGGCCGGTGAGAAAGCTGGGAACCAGGTGCTTTGGGCTGATGATGCTGCTCTACTGGCCAAGACACCTTTCTACTTGGAGAGTAGAGAGTTATGAGGCACCTTACGGGTTGGCAAATTCTGGACATTTGTTACTAACCTCACACATGTGCCTATGCCAAGAAAAGAGCCCTCTCCTCTTAGCCTTTGGAGCACCTTAATTGTGGAAGAGGCTCTTTTTCATCCAGAAAAAGAAAAAAAAAAAAACGGAAAGGGCAAAGTTAATATTTATAGTTCCTCAAATCCATCCTGAGTTAGGTAGTGCAGTTGGTCCCAGGAAAACTCACCTCTGGCCTGTAATCCCATCTACTCGGAAGGCTGAGGCATGAGGATCACAAGTTTGAGGACAACCTCAGCAACTTAGGGAGACCCTATCTCAAAATAAAAAATAAAAGGGCTGGGGATGCAGCTCAGTGGTAAAATACTCCTGGGTTCTAGCCCCAGTACCCAGTATGGGGCAAGGAGGAAAAGAAAAAACAAACAAAAGAAAACTCGCTTTTGTCTTTTGAAATGTCCTTAAATTGCCCCAAGCATGAGCAGACATGGATGTGATACTTGGTATTTTTGTTTTTAATAAATGGTCAAACATTTCTTTACAGCCTCAAAACTCAAGCATTGATTGTATTAGGATTTAAATCTATTATTCTAGATTGTTTTAATGTAAATGCTTTATGGCACAAATATTGAGGTACAAGAGATCATTTGAACCAAACGATTATGCAGTAATGTAAATAATATACCAATTCTTGTGTGTATGTATATAGTCTATGTACAGAATTATGGACTTATATTAATAAAGTGGGGAAAGCTATAAAAATAAACCTTATTTATTTTTGAAGTGCTGGGGATCCAATCCAGGACCTATCACATTTTAGGCAAGTTCTCTACCACTGAGCTGTATCCCTAGCCCCAGCCCCACTTAAATTGACGTCACATCGACTGAGACCTTGTGTTTCATGGTCCATTGTGTTGAGGGAATAATTCCAGTGTAACCACCAGCTATAGAAACTGCCTACCTTTTTTTATTATCTTCCAGATTTTTTCCCTTTTTGCCCACTTGAATCGTATAAGTAGGAAAAAGGTACTTGGAAGAGATACACAACTTTTTGTATCCAATTTTCTATTTTTATTTCAATTTTTAATTGCCCAGAGCCTAATTTCTTTGGGCCTTTGCTGATTTGCACATTCAGGACTCCTATGTAAATATGCACGTGGCATGTGTGCATGCCTGGCCTCCTTATCACCAAGCCTGCTCTTTTGGTGTTTAAATACACAATCCACATCAACACACAATCATGGACTTACTATCATGGGCTTTTGTATTCCTTCTTCCCTAGAATCGGGTTAATTTTCCCTTCGCTAATTCTCAGACCCATTAAGTTCCCCCCCTGCCCCCCACAAAAAATTGCAAATTCTACCACAGACCAGTGGTCTCACCCCACTTCTCCAGCATCCGCTCTCCAGGCGGGGTGCTGGAGTGAAGGTTCCTATTAGGCAGACTTCATTAATGTTACCAAATATACCCCGGCACATTTACTCCTCTACTATGAAGTATTATCATAAATAATTAAAATTAAACTGCACTTGTCAAAATAAATGAACAAAGTAGAGTTAGTGATGTCTTTGCTTTGAATTGCTTGCTATTGGGTTTGCTTTATTCACTAATTTGAAAGAAAGAAGAGAGAAGGAAAGAACAGACTGCTGTAAAGGGCAAAGGAAGATGTGAAGAGAGAAGGGGGGGGAGTAAGAGAGAGGGAGGGAGAGAGAGAGCCCTCACTCATTTGCCTTTGGGTTTCCAGTCATTAGGGCACTCTGGGAGGCTGGAATGCAGCCTCAAACGTCAGTTCATAATGAATATTGAGGTGTGGATGTGGAAGGAGGGATTTCTTTGTTTACTGAGGAATGGCCATGGGAATGGGGGAGAGGATTGCCTTTGGGGATTAAGGAGTGGGCTTTGTTTTTATGAAGGGCCTTACTTCTTTTCTGAAGTTTTCTTCAGCTAATTGATTCAATTCAGACGTTCCTCCTCCCCACTCAGCTAGCCAAGGCAGTGTGTTGTGAGATGTGCACAGCTCTATTTCCCCATCTGCTCTGGCCCCCTTCTCCACTGTGACCCTTGAAAAGGGTGTGAGCCTTCACATCAATGAGATCACAGGCTATGGAGAGATCAGTTGGGGCCGACACCTTTGTATATAGATATGTGTGATATACAAACCCATAGTCATACTCAGTACATACGTACGGTATTCTTAGAGGTACAGTTTCATCTAGAAATAGACTACAGGTGTACAATTCTATGGGTTCTGACAAATGGATTTACATCCATGTTACCAACATCTAAGATAGCATTTCCTTCTCTCCAGAAACTTCTCTCCTGCTTCTTCCCAGTCAACCTCTGTCTGCTCCCCTTCTTATGTCTCTTATTGGAGTTTAGTTTTACTTACCTAGAGGTTCAAAAAATGGAATGTATGCCAGCACTTTTAAAACAATTTTTATGTCAAGTCTGGAGGGAACCAGACCTTGGACGATTAGCTGAGCCCCGTGTCCAGGAGCACTGGACTTGGGTTAAACACTCTCCCCAAGATGGGCCCAGAAGTCCAACCTGTAATTAGGTTTTGGGGGGGGGGAGCCGGTTGGGCTGGGCTTCCTGCCGGAGAACCCTGTTCTCACCCAAGTCTGCTAATGAGCTGGGGACAGGTGAGCCTCACACATTCCAACTTTGCTGCCTTCAGCGGCATCCAGGAGCTGCTGGTGAGCTATTAATGGAAGGTGCTGGCTTTGTGCTAATTAGAACTTCCTTTCTTCTTCCATCTGTGCAGGCACTGGAGCCCCTCACTGGTCAGCTTCACTCCCCTTCCCCAGCCTGCAACCTACTTTTTGTTCCCCCCATGAGTTAGTGGGTGCTGTGAACAGAACTGCTCTCTTCTGACTCTGGTCAAACCTTGGTACTGTGTGTTTTGCAGAAATGTATAGGTGGCATTTCTTGGGCTTTCTCTCTGGATGGGGTAGAGTTGGATTGCAAGTTGGAAGGAAGTTTGGACAGGATGGCCACCCTCCTGGGTAGGCTGATCTTAAACCAACCTGGAATTATTTTGTAAAAGACCTCTCTCCCCTCTGCTTTCTGGAGAATGTGGTTTCTGCAGACCTTTGTCCCCACTGTCACTCCCCTTCCTGATGTCTCCCATCCCATCTCACCCTACAGCTTCCATCTTTGCTGTCTTAGGCTGCTAGTGGGGGTTGTGAACCTAGCCCTCTTCTGAAAAGCCTATAGATATATTTTTACTTTTGCTTTTTATTAATTTCACCTCAGGTCCAATGGACATAATCATTTTATATGGAGGCTATCTCTTATAGAGATGTCATTGGAAAAAAAGAAATATTAACGTCACATTAACGTCATTTATAGAAAAAGCACCTTTCAGAATGGAGCCTGGGAGAGCTACAGCTTCTTGCCTGGATGTGCAGGGAAATAGAGAGAGGGGCATTTCCTTGAATGCTCTTTTTAGCTTTTGAATCCCCTCAGGTCTCCCTTGGGGTTGTGTATAAAAATATCAAGCCCTTCCTGCCCATGCATCTCATCTCATTCTCTCCTGCTTGGATAATCCTAATAATAATAATACAGGTCACCCGTTTCTTTGATTGTATAGACTGGGATTTTAAAAATCAGGAGTGGATTGTTGGCCAGGGTGGGGCTTCTCTGGGTTCCTAAGGTTCTGGATCTATGCTGAAGAGGAATGGAACTCAAGAGGATTGTAGAAATTCCCTGATCATGGGGAGGGAAGGAGGACTGGCTTGCTGGTGTGATTCTTTTCTGCCACTGGGAGTGACAATTCCTGATTTGAGGCACTAGGGTGGAAGATGCAGTATCACCCAGGAACTAATTAATAAGCTAAATTCACATTCTACAACCCAGAAGGGCAGCAGTTGGGGGTGGGGGAGGAATGCCCGCACCTATAAGGCAGGGCTGTTTCACATGATCATCCTTTACAACTCAGTGTGTCCTTTAAAAGTCACATTTGCTTCTCTTGCTGAAAGAGGGATTGGTATCTCCAAGAATCAAGTGAGATTTAAGTAAAATATACAAATAAAATCCCCAGCATGCAGTGGGCATTGATCAAATGATAGCTCAGATGGCAAGGGGTGCACATAGTGTCAGGACCTGAAATTCAAAACTTCACCCACTGCAGGGAGGCAGAGTGAAAGCCCCAATAAATGCCCAAAGATGTCACAGAGGCTACAGCTGCTTACCTCTCCCAGCGCTGGACATTTCTGCTGGGTGCCATAATCAAAAGAATCAGGACCTCGAGAAGCAAGCACCCAGTGGAGGTGGGTAGGGACAGGTATAAAGTTCTGAGCTTGTCTGACTGGCCAGGGAACCTATAAGTGTCTTTAGAGATTTGAAGGGACCAAGATCTGGACTGACTGACTTAGAGTGCTGGGGCTGGGATGGCCGCCAGGAGGCCCACGTTAGTTCTGCACAGGAGTTATGGAATTATTAACAGTGTCCTTCCGGAAAAAGGCCTGGGGTCCCTGATCTGGCTGTTCCTTGTCTCAGGACTCTCAAGTGGGGGCGATGGGAGAAGCAAGGGTTATTCTGGTATGGTCGCGGGCAGGCTCTCAGCGATGCTCTGTGTCCCTGGAGCATGTAGGTGTCCTAGCTTACATTCCTCCATTTCCGAAGCTCCATCTCCGAGCGAGCAGAGGGTCCCTTCTGTCCGCGGGCGGGTCAAAGCGGCACACGTGCACACTCTGAGCGCAGACGGAACCTGCGTCTGGTACTCACCCTGGTTTCCCTCCCCTGTCCTGGGCGGATATAGTTGAGGCGCGGAGAGCACGCGGAAGTCTCCCTGGGTGCTCGTGACCTGGAGGACACGTGTGTCCCCACCGTCAAGCCAACGCCACCAGACCACGAGGGCACCTACAAATGGACCCAGGCGCGCTTCTGGGTGGGCGTGGGAGGCGCCTGATGTCTCTGCTCTGTTTTACAGTTACTCGCCTGCAGGTGCCTCCTGCCCCCGCGCGGTTCCCGCCTGCGCTCGGCTCACTCTTAGCCGGCACGAACTCGCCGTCAGCACCCGCTCCTAGGAGGGCGCGCGGGCGAGGAGAGGTGAGTGGCCGGAACCAGGGTGTGGGAGGAGCAGCTGGCTGCCTGCACCGCCGTTCTGCCTTGCGGTGTCTCCAACAGCCGGCCTGCGAGTTGGGACGTTGGGAGATCCCAGGATCCTGTTGGCAGAGCGACTGTGTTTTCACCTGGATCGACTCTCCTCCTCCCTAGGCCCAGAAGATCCAAGGTCTTCCCCCAAGGCAACCTGTGAAAAGGCTTTTAATAACACACCTGCTGGCTTTTGAGCACGGCGCACAGCACACAGTAGGCACCAAGTGCATTCTGATGTTTCTGGCCTCCGAGGCGGCTTCTCCGACTTCTCCGGCTTCTCAGTCGCCAGAGCCTCGGCTGGGAACAGTGCGGCTGCCTACGCCCGGCTGCCCCGGGGTCGGCTGGCCTCTGAGTGACTAGGGGCCAGGACCTACGCCTTTCGCACTCTCGGGGCCGCAGAAAAGAGGGTGTCAGGCACCAACTCGGAAGCCGCACCCGCTGTGGCCAGAGCCTAAGTAAAGAATCCGTTCTAAGCATTCACACCTCGATCACCCGAGAGAACTCCTTGGGGCTGCGGCCTTTGGAAGCAGAAGCACCCACAGCTGTGTGGGTCCAGGTAGGCCGCAGCGCCCTGCCCGCTACGGACCGCAAAACAAGCGGCCGGGGCTCACTGGCCCTCGGCTGCGTCCCTCGCGGTGCGCTGCAGTTCGCCGGGCGCGCGGCGGGCCCGGGAGGCCATTTTGAGAGCTAGTAGCGGCCGCAAGATGGCTGCGTGGGCACGAGGTGGGTCGCGGCTCTGCCGGGCCCGCAGAGCCCTCCTCGCGCTGCCCAGCCGCGGCCCTCGGAGGCGGCACGGGTCGAGAGCGCCTGGCCAGGCAGGGCCCTTGTCGCTGTTAGCCGGGCAGAGCCTCCCGGTATTAATTAACCCGGAGGCCTCGAGAACGAGCGCTCGCTGTCCTCTCTCCCACCTCCCTCCCGGACTCTCCGTCGCCGCTTCCCTGTCCCGCGTTTGCATCCTCGCGACAGCGGTGCTTGTCAGGGCTGCTTGGGCAGGAGGCTAGGACACCAGGCTACCTTACCCCGCCACAGTGCACCGCCTGGGAACAGCCTTCCCAGCAGCCAAAGGTCCCGAGCGGCGCACCATGCCAGAGGGGCTCGCTACGAAAGAGGGCTGTGTTTTGGATAGAGTCTGAAGCTGCGAGCGCTTCGGGCATTATTTCCGATGAATTATATATGTAAGGAATGTCCGCATTTTCTTGAAACTAAAAGTTCGGAAGTGGCAAGCCGGCTGTGGCTGCCCTCCGCGCTTCTGGTGATGATGGAGACAAGGAGAGCAGAATGTTTGTGAGGGTGTAGCTGGTGCTGGGGACCTGCCTGGAGGCCCCATTTTCACTGTCCTGAGTGGGCTGTGGGTGAAAAGCGGATGAAGGTGGTGGGGCTGCTGCCGTGGTGCAGCGTCTTTGAACTGGCAACCTCCAAACCTCAGCCCAGGGTCAATTTGGTTCTTCTGCTCCTGTGCCTGCATTCCACCTGGGAGAATAATTTAAGTACAATAACTGTCTTTTTTAAAAAAGATATTTTAATTGTAGATGGGCACAATTTTTTATTTATTTTTATGTCGTGCTGAGGATCAAACCCAGTGCCCCATACATGCTATGCAAGCGCTCTACCACGGAGCTACAACCCCAGCCCACAATGACTGGCTTTTGAGCCACCCCACTTGACCCATGGATGCCCTACAGCAGGTCCCACACATGTGCAATCTGTGCAGACTGACCAAGAAACTTCAAGATTAGTTTGTCTTTATTGAGTTATGTCCTCCAGAGGCTTTAACCTCAGCCTCTGCACATGCATGCATACACAAAAATGCAGGGATTTATCACCCTGTGATGTCATCTTTCAAACAAGCATCAAGCCTCTCCTGAATCCAAGTCCACTCAACCATACCTCACACATGAGGGCTCTCCTCTTACCATCCCACAACCTTGTAGCTTGAAGTCCTGACCTAAAGTAAATTTAGTGATTGAAATTGTGTTTGTTCTGAGCTTCCTGGCAGCCAAGACAAAGAAAACATGATGGTTTATAGTCTTGCTCAGAAAAGGAAGTTCATCAGGAATTTACAGAGGTGAACATCTTTCCTGCATAATATTTACATAAAATTAAAAGCTCCACAATTATGTAGGTCACCTGTACGTGTCACAGATGGGGAACCAGACCCAGAGAGGTTGAATGACTTTCCCCAAGGTCATGAATTAGCTAGAGCAAGAACTAGGACCAGAGATCCTGACTCCCAGTCCAGTCCCCATTCTCTCCTGACCATGCTTTAGTGGGCTTCTCAACAGGGAGATCATTTAACCATGGCACAGTGAAGGTGATCACTCTCATCTCTACTATAAATTCCTTAGACGACCTGGAAGCTGTCTTGATCTCCCCCCCCCCCCCCAGTTCCTAACGCTGGTCTGGGATTCTCATTGTGGGTATTTGTAAATATTTGATAAATGATTGAAGCTAAACCTGTCTTCCTGAGATGAGGGTGAAGGTAGAGCTAAAGGCCTTACTTCAGTTTTCGGCGGGGGGGGGGGGGGTCTTTGTTTTTTGAATTTTGGATTCCTGAGTCTATCAATTTCCTAGATGTTTGTCTGTCTCTCTCTCTTTGGCAAATGGTGTGAGCCAGTAGTGTAGTTCCCCTTTGGACTATGATTCTGACTCCTGACTGCTCTATCATGTTATTGGACCTCACAGAAAAGGATCATTTGTCTCAGGGGACCAGCTTTTCAGTGAAACCTACAAATCCTTTAGGTGAACCAAAGATGATTTCCCCATTGCATTGGTACAGTTGCCATGAGAGCTGACAGATCCATTCTTTTGTCCCCCTTGGGTAGAGAGCCAGCCTCATTTCTGTACCTATCCAAGTTGGATTCCCAGGGCTTAAATACAAAACAGAATGTGGCTCATATTAGTAAATTTCCATGGCTCCAAAAAGGTAGCATTTGAACACCTTGATTATTGTAGGTACTAAATAGATTTAATGGCTCTGTGACAGACTAAATTCTTTGGATACCAGCACAAGAAAGAGATTCACTTCTGGGAGTGGGGAGGGGCACCCCTGTTTCTATAAAAGCTCCAACAGATCCTGGCCAAATTCTGAGTCCTCTTTGAACAGGGTCTGCATGGGAAAAGTGGAGTGGTGGAGAACAGAGTCCAGTTTGCAGCCAAAGCTCCAACTGTGGGAGAAAAACAGGGTTCAGCTCCCCAGATTAGTTACTGTCTACAAGGATTAAAGGCCCCAAATAATGGCTGGCTTCTCCCCTCCTCTGTGCCAAGGGAAGACATGTAAATACAGCCGCACGCCAGCTTAGTCAGTAGATGTGTATAAATCGAATTTAGCAAATCAGATCATGGTTTAAATGCACTATTTAAAGCAGTCCTGCAGTGAAGCCTTTTACAAAGGGAATAATCATTTTTGTGATGCTAATCATCAGCCTCCAATTTATCTCCTTTGTAAGTTCAGATGTTGGTGCACTGGGTGTTCTGAAATTGGGGCGCTCTTGTGCAGGGCTCCAGTGATGGCTGTCTGCCTTCTTTTTCAGATCTCTCATTTTAAATGGGTGCATGTCCTGTTTCTCACTGGGGGCCTCAGGATCCTTGTCAGCTTGATAGTTTTCATCCATCTCACTCATCTTTTCATAATCTGATAGAATCTACCATTCAGCCCCTCCTGGCTGCTTTTCTAAGATTTTCACCCTTCCTGGGGTGTGATAGGAACCCTACTGTTTCTGGGAAGTTCCCCTCTGATCAGGACCTTCTTTTGTTTCCTTGAGCTTCTGGTACCTCTGGTGTTGATCATATACTCTCAGAAATGACTAGATGATACTTAGCAGCCCCTGAATTTAGAAGATTTATTAAATGCATGCCTCCACTTGCTGAATAGGCAATGTCTATATAATTCTCCCCATTCACAGAAAAAAACTGAGGCCTGGATGTTAAAATGACTTTTCCCACAAGTTAAAATCAGGACTCAAAGGAGAACCTGTCTCCTGATTGCTATAAAAGTGTTTTATATGCTGAGCTGTAGTCCTTTTTTCTGAAGAGAAAATATAATCAGAGACCATCTGGGTGGGAGAGAAAGAATGAACGGAAAGAGATGGATCAGAGTGGAATAAAGGAAGTGGGCAGGAAGCTGGGGGGCTGCAAGGAGCCTGACCTTGCTTAGCTCACAGGCCCTGATATAGTGTCTTTGTCAATGCTGCCACTATTGACGTGTTCCTCGGTAATTATGACTGTGTGTTGGCATGGCGACTCAGAGTAAGAAGACTAGAGACACTGGGTAAATGCACGACTTGTTCTTGCCTTCTAAAGCAGAGAGGAGCTTTTGTGGATAGTTCCACCAGACCCCAGTGCTGGAACGTGGGTATTTACAGGCCATGGAAGCCAGGTGGCCCTGAGCAGAGATGACACAAACAGAGGTCCTCAATAAGACTTGGGTTCAATGCAGAGTTCTCCCAGAGCGCCTCCCTCCTGTTCCTTTCTGATGTCTTTGTCCCTCAGCCTTGCAATGTCAAGTATATCCATTTCTACTCCTTCTTTCTGTTGTTGTTTTTTTTTTATCCTCAGCCTTTTTCTATGTTTTATTTAGATAGGGCCTTGCTGAGTTGCTGAGACTGGCTTTGAATTTGTGATCCTCCTGCCTCAGTCTCCCAAGCCTCTGGGATTACAGGTGGCACCACTGTACCCGGCTTTTGGGTTATTTCACTTAAGTTTATGTTGCGGTATCCCTGAATTTGATTGATCATAAAATTATGTGTCATAGGCAATGGCTGTGCATTTAGAGGCTGAAAGGAAAGGCTGATGGACCCAGTGGCAGGGACGGAGTCTAGGGCTTCCCTTTCTATCCTGGTCCCAATTCCATAGATGCTTGGGCCAAGGCCTCATCTGAAAATGGGAGAGGTTGCTGGAGAGAGATCAGTGCTGTCTATTTGATGTCCATCACATATGTGCTGTTGATCTCATGA